AGTTTCTGTTGCTGGCTTGAAGGACATATAGAGATGTGAAGTTGGTATTTGTTTAACTGTGATGGCTGCTGTTGACATTTTCCCATCCTGGTACAGTAGCTTAGGAAAAAGCTATCTACCTTTTTTTGAAACTATAAATTTAAATGGATGAAATAAAGATTATGTATAAATCATGGAGTCCCAAATGGTTGGTTTTTTTCCCTAACTATGCAAATCTCTAGAAGTACTAAAGTTTTCTAGATCTCCTTACGCTTCTTTGATGGCAATCCAGAATTTTGCAGCTCATATTTGGCAACGGTAAACCTTGACATCCTGAAAATTAAATGCATCTGTGATTCTGGCTTTGACTTTTGATTTTTTTTTTAAAAAAAATTAAACAATCCATGATGGTTTTCTCCTTAAAGCTACTGTTAAATTATCAAATATCAAACAGACGTAGGTGAACCAAACCATTACTGTAGCTTATTTTAACTCAAGGGCATCGTTTATTTTATGATGAATGTAAAACCAACCTCGTTCTGTTTTAATTTGCTGTTCTGTTACCATGGCAATTATACCAAGCTTTTAAAAAAAATCGGCAAGGATAAGTTTGGGAGAGCAAAAATAAAAATGTGTTGGGCTTTGGGAAAGATGGGAGTAGATAATTGGCAATTTCTAGATGCCATGCTAATGGGTTTCTGCTATTTATAGGCACTCTTCCTGATCATGTTTGTCCAGTGGAGGGAAAAAAACAAAAACAAATGGATATAAATAATTTTCCTTCTCCATCTGTTTTACAGATACTTAAAATTTGGAGCAGAGCTTCTTAACTTTTATGTGTCAGATTCCTTTTAGAATATAATGAAGCTTTAGAGAGAATATCAGCCATGCCCAAGTTGTACACGGGGTCCATCTAACACAAAAAGATAACAGAAAAATTGGGGGCAGATGAGTCTTCTAACAGGATATGGCAGTGATGGCGAACCTTTTAGAGACCGAGGGCCCAAACTCTAATCCAAAACCCACTTATTTATCGCTGGGTGCCAGATGGGCATGGCCTACTGGGTGGGTGTGGCTGTGGTGGTCATGGCAGACTGGGTGGGTGTGGCCAAGGTGGGCATGGTCACCTCGATGTTGCTCGTGGGGAGGGACGCCTGTGGTGGCTGGGCAGGGTTGAGGGAGATCCAGGGGGTCTCTGGCAGGTGGGGCGGTGGGCAGGAGGCTCTTCCTGTGGGATGAGGCGAGGCAAGGCAGGGCGGGAGTGCCATTGTCGCAGGGCAAAGTGAGGCAGGGGCCAGAGTGGCTGCTGCCTGACACCATCGGCCCCCGCACAGAGGCCAGCAAGCACATGGGGGCTGACAGTGTCCTTCAGCAGCCACAGCCTGCCGGCCCCTTGACTGGCGCACTCTGGAGCTTCGCAGCCTGCCGTCAGACTCATGCTATGCTATCCTATCTTATCCTATCCTATCCTATCCTATCCTATCCTATCCTTCTATCAGGCAGGACAAGAAGTAATAGGTGGAAGATCATTAAAGAGAAATACAACCTAGAACTAAGGAGAAATTTCTTGACAGTGAGAACAGCATGCCTCCAGACGTTGTGGGTTCTCCAACACTGGAGGTTTCCAAGAAGAGACTGGACAGCCATTTGTTCAGAATGGTAACAACAACAACAATAATAATAATAAAGTTGGAAGGGACCTTGGAGGTCTTCTAGTCCAACCCCCTGCTCAGGCAGGAAACCCTACACCATTTCTGACAAATGGCTGTCCAGTCTCTTCTTAAAAACTTCCAGTGTTGGAGCATTCACCGCTTCTGGAGGAAGGTTGTTCCATTGTAACTGTCAGGAAATTTCTCCTCAGTTCTAGGTTGCTTCTCTCTTTGGTTAGTTTCCATCCGTTGTTTCTTCTCTTGCCTTCAGGTGCTTTGGAGAATAGCTTGACTCCCTCTTCTTTGTGGCAGCCCCTGAGATATTGGAACACTGCTATCATGTAACCCTGAATCCTTCTCTTCATTAAACTAGACATACCCAATTCCAGCAGCCGTTCCTTATGTGTTATGGTATAGGATCTCCTGCTTGAACGGGGGTGTGTGTGTGTGTTGGACTAAAAGACCTCATATTATTATATGTTCTAAGTTCTATCAGATCTGTATTATCTCTTCACTAAGTGAGCATAGTTAGTAATAATGCATGGCAGTTTGTAAAGCCCTGAATGTTGTAAAGGCTCTGATAGGCCAACCATAGGACATCTGATGATGTGATTGGTTACCATATGGCAGGGGTCCCCAACCTTAGCAACGTTAAGACCTGTGGACTTCAACTCCCAGAATTCCCCAGCCAACATGGCTGGCTGGGGAATTCTGGGAGTTGAGGTCCACAGGTCTTAACGTTGCCAATGTTAGGGACCCCTGCCATAAGGGACTCTGTGTTTGGGTCGGTGGGCTGCAAGGAGCCCTCTGGTTTAATAAAAACGGCAGACTTCCTATCAAAAGCAAAGTCTCACTAATAGACATTCCTCTGCCTTCACAGAGTTTTGATCCACACACAGGAGGGACCCTGAGGAGGTTGTGTCAAACTAATTCCGTTTGGCATATCATCGTGTATTAATTTAATTAGTCAGTATTTCAGCCAACTTCCCAAAAGAAGCCAAAAGATATATGCATTGTTTCATTTGTTGTCACAGTGCCAAGATTGATAGCAAAATGCAGTAGTGCTGCACTGTGATAAACAGATGTTCTTCCTAGCAACAGCAGCAAATGCTGGATGTTTGGACAGAGTCCAGACTTAAAAAACTGAGACCTAAAAGGCACTTCTGGAATACAATACAGGTAGTCCTTGACTTACGGCCACAACTGAGCCCAAAATTTATGTGGTTAAGCGGAAACATTTGTTAAGGGAGTTGTGCCGTCTTGTACGACCTTTTTTGCCACACTTGTTAAATGAATCGTGGCAGTCGTTCAGTTAACAACATTGCTATTAAGTGCCCCTGGTTTCCCCATTGACTTCAGCAACAGCACTCAGACTTATTTACCACTTCACAGTGCTTTACAGCCCTCTCTAAGTGTTTTACAAAGTCAGCCTATTGCCCCCAACAGTCCTCATTTTACCGACCTCGGAAGGATGCAAGACTGAGTCAACCTTGAGTCGGTCATGATCGAACTGCTGGCAGTGTGAGCAGGGTTAGCCTACAATACTGCATTCTAAGCCCTGAGCCACCACGACGCTCTGCTTCTGACTTTGCTTGTCGGAAGGTCACAAAAGCTGATTATATAACCCCCCGTAGACCAGTGATGGCAAACTTTTAGAGACCGAGTGCCCAAACTGCAACCCAAAACCCACTTATGTATCGTCGGGTGCTGGGTAGGCATGGCCCATTGGGTGGGCAGGGCCAATTGGTGGGCGTGGCCCATTGGATGGGCGTGGCCCATTGGATGGGTGTGGCTTTGGTGGTAACGGCAGACTGGGTGGGACTAAAAAGTTCAATCAATCAATTCCAACTTTGCGAGTCCCGCAATAAGTTGAAATTGATTGATTGATTGACCCTTTTTTTTTTTGCACACGGCGGTGGAGGCCTAAAGAGAAAAGGTTTTATAAAAACCAGCTGAAGGCCTAAGATTGGGGCAATGGAGCGCGTGCCAACAGAGAGGGCTCTGCGTGCCACCTGTGGCATGCGTGCCATAGGTTCGCCACCACAGCCTTAGACACTGCAACTGTCATAAAGATGAACCTGTTGCCAAGCTTCTGGATTTTGGTCACGTGACCAAGGGGATGCTGCAACGGTCGTTTATGAAAAACCGTCATAAGTCATTTTTTTGCACTGCCGTTGTCGCTTTGAACAGTCACTAAATGAACTGTTGTAAATTGAGGACTATCTGTATGAAGTCCCAGGAACTGGTGGGGTGGTTTTGTTCATATAAACGTTGTTCACATAAACCAGGGGTCTTCAAACTTGGCAACTTTAAGACTTGTGGACTTCAACTGGAGTGGCTGAGGAATTCTGGGAGTTGAAGTCCACAAGTCTTAAAGTTGCCAAGTTTGAAGACCCCTGATATAAACTTTCTGAGCAACCTTCCATTCAAGTATATACAGGTAGTCCTCGGCTTATGACCACAGTGGGCCCCCAAATCTCCGTTGCATGAGTTGTTAAGTGAGTTGTGCCCCATTTTTACTATGTTATTAAATGAATCACTGCAGTTCAGTGAATTATGCGGTCATGAAGTGAATCCAGCTCCTCCCCCATTGACTTTGCTTGTTACAAGCCAGTTGGGAAGGTCACAACATGGTGATCGCATGACCCCTTGGATAGTGCAAAAATGTGTCATAAATGCAGGTAGTTTGTCGATATGTTTTTAGCTGCAGTTGAAGGACCTGGTCCTTACCGGTAGTTCTCGAGTTATGACTTATAGTTAAGTTAATAACATAGTTGTTAAGTGAATCTAGCTACCCCATTAACTTTGCTTGTCAGAAAGTCGGAAAAGGGGATCACATGATCTCAGGGACACAGCAACGGTCATAAGTACGAGCAGTGGCCGAGCATCTGAATTTTTGATCACGTGATCCTGGGGATGTTGTAACGGTCATAACTGGGAAAAACGGTCATAAGTCACTTTTTTCAATGCCATTGTAACTTTGAACGGTCTCTAAATGAACTCTTGTAAGTCAAGGACTACGTATGCATGCCGGTTGCCACGAGCCCAAATTTTGATCCCATGACCACGGGATGCTGCGATGGTCGTAAGTGTGAACACTGGTCACGAGTCACTTTCCGTGGCATTGTAACTTCAAACGGTCACTAAATGAATGGTTGTAAGTGAAGGACTGCCTGTATTTGATATATTGTATATAAAATTAAAATATATTAGAGTGTAGACAGTTTAAAGTTTTTTCCTGCCACATGGAGGTTGCCTGCCATTCCCTAAAAGAAAGCTGGATGGACAGATTTGTACCAAATATTTTGCTTGTTAGGAAAATTATGAAGCTCGGACTGATCCCATAACCTTGTAAACATTTTGCTCTTTCAGGTCCGTGCAGAATTCAGCCCAGTCTGCATTATATGAACACTGGGGATGCTGCCGAACATGTGTTCCTGGCTGGCATGGCCTACAGGATGTTATAACTCTTGGAAGCAATGGCACCTCACCTCCTGAAAGATCAAGCAGAGTTCGTGAACCTGTAGCAGATGGTAGATCTCCATCCCCACTGGAGGTGCTCTCACCATTTTACTGCACTTCCTTTCCTGAAAGGAATAAATCTGATATATTGCTGAACCAGGTCTACATTATGGAAGAAAGACATATGGTAATTTATTATTTTGCTTCATAAGAAAGTGGTCAGTATTCACTTGGCGAACTAAGGGGATGCCAAACTTTTTCAGCTAGTGGGCACAAGTTTTAAGAGTCTGTTGTGGGTCATCCAACAAAATGACAGCTGTCAGAAACTTGTGTATTCACAAATGACAGCAGTGGTAGACATCTCAGTCCCACGAGGTCCATTTATCAACCTGTCAATTTATCAACCTGCTTCTCCTGCTCTCCAAGAAGTTCTTCAATTTCAACTTCAAAAGTTCTTCTGTTTGGTTTTTTTTTTTCTAGTCAGATTCACACACTTCCAAACACAATACAGGTAGTCCTCAACTTATGACCGGGGACTCAATGACCATTTGTTAGGACCATGGTTCTACCTAAGGAGTTCTTATGACCCAGATTCGAAGACCTAATGGCTGCTTCCTCCGACGGTCACATGACTGCACTTCTGGCATCCGGGCCACACTGATATCCATTTGCAGTCATGTGACCATGATTTATGCGGTCATGTGACCATGGTTTGTGACAGTTTTGTCAAAAACTGAGATTTACGTTCACTTTTTGGCAAAACTGGGCCCAAAAGCAAGCCATTGGTTTGCTTTGCAATCACAACGTTTGCTTAACAACCTCCACAAAAAAAAGGTCGCATAATCAGATTGTTCACATGACAATCCGGTAGCTAAATTTTATTGAGTCCGGAGAATCAGCTGAACCCATGCTGCTTCTGGAAGTCCGTTCTAGGCCTTGGAGGCCTGGAGGAGGTCTTCCAGGCCCAGAACAGCCCACAGGAAGCGCATGGATGTCATTTCCAGAAGTTTGTTCTAGGCCTCAGAGGTCTGGAGGAGGCCTCTTAGGCCCAGAACAGCCCACAGGAAGTGCATGGATGTCACTTCCGGAAATCCATTCTAGGCGTCAGAGGCCCAGGCATGCATCCATGCAGAGAACCAGATGTTCAGGTATTTGAATACCACCACTGGTTAGGACCATGATGGGCAGGCTCAATTACGGATTGTAACTTGAGGATTACCTGAATTTAGCTCACCCTTTCTATTTTATAAGGTGCCCTATGGAATCTACTATGCTTGTATCGTGCCAGTTGCACATGTATTTATTTAAAACCTTCAAGTCTGTATAAGCAGGGAACTGATTCACACCAATGCAACTGTGTGTGAACACATTCATGCTCAGAGATATCATATTGCCAGTCCCAACTTAAAAGTCAAGTAGATAGTCAAAAGGAAAAAAAAATTAAATGTGCAATCAGCCTACATTTAAAACTTTACGTAGATCTTTTTAAAAAGAAACATTGGTTTTTTTTAAAGAGGTATGTAAATATGCTACTTTACTCTCCTATTTTATTTCAGATTTAGATGCTCATCCTTTCGGTATCATGGAAATCTCACAATTCCATTTTCTTTGCTTGATAATTCCCCAGGAAGCATTAAATTTACTCTGCCCAAAAATTGTCACGTTAGTGATAATATCCAAAGTAATATAAACATTATAACTACTGATTCATTTGTAATGGTTCATTCATGCACATAAGATCACTTAATTTTGCATTAAAAATGGGAGAAAATAGATATGCAAGAAACTAAACTGAATATAAACCAGTATTTCTCAATCTTAGCAACTTTAAGATATGTGGACTTCCAACTCCCAGAATTCCTCAGCCAATGTAGCCAGAAGTGCTTTTCTAAAATTATTCACCATAATCATTAAGCAAACATTGCAGTCATTAGGCAAATTCATTCATTTGAATGACATTTTGTGAAAAAAATTGGTTAAAATATCACAAATCGCAGTTATGTTACTGCGGAACATTCTAAGTGATTATAAAGGCAATCAAATTGGCTGATAATACAAATACAATTACAATTGCATCAAATTGGCTGATAATATAACCCTGATTAATGTACTATTGATTTCAGACCAAAATAAATATATACATAGATAATGGAGGAGAGGCTGTTTATATGTATACTCTTTCCTTTCCATGTTGCAGACTGTTTCTGCACCTTCTTCAACATTAGATTATCAGTTTGGGCTGCTAAAGTTCTAACGACCACTAGATGGCAGCAGAGTGATAACAGAAAACTTTCTACACTTTGCTGCCATCTAGAGGCCCACTGGATTATACAGCCTGGATATAGGACGTCATAATATCACTGGAGGGCCAGGCAGGTTATCTGTAAAGATTGCATGTCTAAAAGATATAAAGCATACTTGCATTAGTGCCCCAGCACTAATAAGAAAAGCTGCCTAATTATACCTATCTTTATTGTGCCAATTCTTTGTGTCATTCAGCCTTCCCCAGAGACTTTGTTCCCGGCCGCTGCAGCAGAGAAATTCCTACAGGAGGAAGAGAGGCGAGCAAAAGACTTTGAACAGATTTTAAACTCTCACATTGAAGAACTGCAAAGGCAATCATCAAACACCATAAAGAACTATGCCACTCTCAAGCAAACACACCTCAGATGAACCTTTAAAAAAAAGAAAAACCCTTAAATTGTACAGATAATCCCTGCACCAATCATCAATTACCATTTAAAAAAAAAACTTTAGTCAAAGAAATTTTTGTAATGTGAGATTTTATATCGTTTCTCTATGGATTTCATTTCAGCCATGAATTTGGAAGATCGTGTATCAAAAGGTCTAAAAAAAAATCTGGAAATTAAATATGAATACTTTTTTAATTTTTAGTGCGATCCAAATTCTGTTTCTTATTTGAAATGCTGCATCCAAAATGTTCTATGACACTAATTCAAAGTGGTTGCAATGCTAGGAACAAAATTCACACTGAGGTGTCTCATCAAAACAAGAAACAGTTTCAGGTATTTATCTATGAGTAACCATAGGGATTTAGAACACCCTCTAGGGAGGCATAAATCTGGGTGACCGCTAGATGGTGCCAAAGCAGTGCAGAAAATCTATTTTGCTACAGTCCACTGATTAATTATATTTTTGCAGCCCAGATGCAGTAACATTAGCTTTAGCCTTCTTTTAATTCAGGTACAAAAATAATTTTCCCTGGAAAAAATCTAACTAAATAAACTGAGGGGGGGGGGAATAAACTATAGGTTGATTCTATGTTTCTGTTTTTCAAATGAGATGCAGACCCTTCAAAACGATTATCTCTTTCAGGGCAGGAGGGATAAAATAGGAAATTTTACTTGATTCATTAAGGTAAGGTGACCAACCGTCCTCCTTTAGGGAGGACAGTCCTTGTAAGTTCTGTCCTCTCTTGAAAGATGTCCTCCTACATGTCCTCCTTTTTGATATTTGAAGACTAATCTGTAAATCTCTGTATTCGATTGATGCCGATCCGATCCATTGCGTGTGATGTGACATATTTATATTTGACATGACGATTCGTCAAGGCTTGGTACAATGTGGCTAGACGCAATTATGAGACACATGCGCTCCGCACAGGAGAATTGTTTTGAGAGAGTGTGCCGCGCGCAAGTGGCTTTGTTTACTTCTTATCGAAACACGACATGGCATACACGCATGCATTAGACTCACTTTTTTTTCTTCAATTTATTTGCGTCCTCCTTCTCATTGTAAAAAAGTTGGTCACCTTAATTAAGGAGATTGCTTTAACAAATGTTTTAATGAATCTTTTCTAGATCTATATTGACTATTATACCTATAGATAATTGCTCACTTTGGAGGAGTTGGGGGGCCATATCAATGCAATGAACGAATGTCTATGTCAGGGGTAGGCAACCTTGGCTCTTTTATGACTTGTGGACTTCAACTCCCAGAATTCCTGAGTCAGCATGGCTTAGCTTGGAAACCTCTCCCTTTCGCCTCAGCATGGCTGGCTCAGGAATTCTGGGAGTTGAAGTCCACGAGTCATAAAAGAGCCAAGGTTGTCTACCCCTGGTAGATTCTCAGTCATCCAGGTCCTGGTTGTCCCAAAGGTGCTTTTTCAAGAGGCAACTGAACTTCCTTTGCTTTTCCTTGAAGATGTTTTGCTTCTCATCCAAGAAGCCTCTTCAGTTCTGGATGAGAAGCAAAACGAATCGTATAAAACCAACAATATTCAAGTAGATATTAACATAAATAAAATACTTATTTGTATTTTGTTTTGTTTATTTGTTTGTTTATTTAATTTATTTGTTGCCCATCTCATGTCAAAACAACTCTGGGCAGCTAAAAAGAAAACCCTATGTTTTATTAGCAAATAAAAAGTAATATGAGTGGAGTGACATTGTTTTAATTTTATTGGCAAATATCTTCGACATCTGGCAAAACAAAATTGATTTTGCAGATCTCTGCTGCACTTAATTATCCCGGAGAGTTAACTCTCCAGCCTCTGTTTGAAAACCTCCAGTGAGGTTCAGGAAAGTATCAAAGGTGCCTTATGAAGAAAGAGTCCAGAAATCCTTAGAAGCCACAAAAAAAGAAGTTCAAGAAGAGAAATACGCAACTCTCTGAGCACCATCATGCCAAAATCTTCACTTGAAGACACACAATTCATTGGAGAATTGCAAGGAACGTGTCCCATCAATAATGAAAGAAACCAGGAAAGGATTTTATGTTTACGCACAAAAAAAATGAATGAAACTTTAATCACATCATCGTAGTCACCGTTTTGACTTTTCAGACCACACCCTGTCGATACCCTTCGGCCTGGAAAGGAGGATTTACAAAAATGTCAAATGCGCTTAACATTTTAAAGAAAAGTGGGGAGAAAGAAGAGGAGAGGGGAAGAGAGCTATTATACTGCGTATTATCAATTCATTTTATAAGAAAATGATTTCCACCCTATCAGAGCCTGAACAACCTCTTAACTCAGTATGTCTCTACCTTGGCAACTTTAAGATGTGTGAACTGCAATTCCCAGAATTCCCCAACCAGTCAGGCTATTTGGGGAATTCTGGGAGTTGAAGTCCACACTTCAGTCGCTAAAGTTGAAAAACACCATCTTAGATCAATCTGAAATCCCAAGAGTGTTGCAAGTGCTCTTTTCTAACTGGTCTTCAGAGTCTCTCCAACTATGGCTACCAATCAAACTGTACATTCAGTGGTGAGATTCAAATAGGTGAACAACCGGTTCTCTGTGTGGATGCCGCTTCCGGAAGTCCATTCTGAGCCTGGGCAACAAAAAATTAGCTACCGGTTCTGTCAAAGTGGTGTGAACCGGCTGAGTCCCACCGCTGTGTATATTGCTATTGATCTTTCAAACATTTGAATATATAGAGGTCTCAGCAGATGGCAATGTCAGCTTTGTCTGGACAAAAGAGGCCAGCTCTGTATTTGGATGGGAGACCACTAGTAAATCCTAGGGCTGTAGATCAAACTGAGAAGTTAAAAAAATAAATAGGAAAAACAATGAGAAACTACTTTCATACAAGGAGTCCTCGACTTACAACAATTCATTTAGTGACCATTCAAAGTTACAATGGCACTGAAAAAAGTGACTTAGGACCATTTTTCACACTTACGACCGTTGCAACATCCTTGTCATCACCTGATCAAAATTCAGATGGTCCATAACTGGTTCCTATTTATGACGGTTGCAGTGTTCCAGGTCAGGTGGTCACTTTTTGCAACCTTCTGACAAGCAAAGTTAGTGGGGATGCCAGATTCACTTATCAACCATGTTACTAATTTAACAACTCCAGTGATTCACTTAACAACTGTGGCAAGAAAGGTCGTAAAAGGGGACAAAACTAATTTAACAAATTTTGGGCTCAATTGTGGTTGTAAGTCAAGAATGACCTGTATTATTGCAAGAAAACCCCCTTTAATATTTCCGTTCCTTCAACCAGGAGCTGAGCTCAATTCAAAGGAGGGAATAACTCTTTAAGACAGTGGTTCTCAACCTGTGGGTTGGGACCCCATTTGGGGTTGAACGACCATTTCATGGGGGTCGCCAAACAATGCAGTCCGCCATTTCCCCCCCCCTTTTCCTTAGCTGTGCTACTCCCTTTTGTTCTATTGGCTTTTGAAAGCCAATAGAATAGACTCTCTTGAATAGAGTCTAATTCTATTGGCTTTCAAAAGCCAATAGGAATTGTCCAGGCTGTCTCTGCCCTGCTGAGCCCGCCAAAAGTCCCATTCTGCAAACGGTGCTGCACCAGTTGAGTAGTCCTCGACTTACGACCGGTTGAGTAGTCCTTGACTTACGACCGGTTGGGGGTCACGGCATTAAAAAGGTTGAGAACCACTGCTTTAAGAGCATTTACTGTAGTTAATAAGTTTACATTGCTTATTTTGGAGGGGGTCAAGATGACAGCTAGATAATCATCCTGCCTGGTTTTTAATGTGTGTTTCATATGCCACATCCATAAAAAAATTATTGGGGCTTTGATTGCATGATTCTGATCATTTTTACTTTTTTTTTTTTTTGACCATCAGCCTTGGCACCCTCTACTTTTTAAGGTGAGATTGCAAGTCAAAGACTAGGTGTGACTCTTTTCCTCAATCAGTGGCACATCTCTTCCAGGGAATTACTTCACTGCCTTTCTAATGGATTTTTAGGCAAAGTGTAGGAAGTCAGCAGCCCCACCTCCCAGAGAATGAACTATTTTGGGGAATATTAAAAGAGGCAGGATAGAATATTTACCCTGAAGGAGAAATGGCAGAAACCTGAGGAGGTCAATCTTTAGAAATGAATATTTTTTTTAATTCACTCAGAAAGACTCAGGCCACACTATTCATAAACAAAATGCCTTCATTCACAGCTGATCAGATTAGAAAAACAAAGACTCCTAAAATCATCATTCCCCACCCAGCTCCAAGGACAGGACATGAACTCCAAGCCACAATGGGAGTCAGGAAACAATAAATAGAATACCAAAAAGACACACTCAAGCACAGGTCACAGTACATTTCACAACAGGCATTTCAAGTATAAAGCCCAAATAAGGTATAAAAACCCACCTACTCTCAACTCCATTTTGTCAGCTGTCCCAGAACTGCACGCTATTGCTGGTTCTGCTCATCAATAAACAAGACCCTTCTTTCCTATGCAACCTCCATTTTATTTCTAGCATCTTAGCCTCCATTTTATTTCAAGCGTCTTACTCCCGGCTTGGAACTGGATCTGATTTTTCTTTCAACAAAAGCATCCCTGGTGCCTTCATCCCAAATTAGAGAAAGAGATGTTTAGTCTCACCTTCATAGAAGACGAGCTAAATACCTGTATCACTGATGATGTTACCTAGTTTGGTAATGAAACGTCTGCAAGAAAACAACCACACTCACAGTTCAGCCCTGAGCTATAAATATTCTCTTCTATCTGTGTCAAATAATTGTATTCCATCTTTCCCATACTGATATGACAAAGCCCAGAAATTATGTGGAACACAGAAAAATAAGATGCAACCCAGAACTGCCAGGTAGATTTTACACCGCCTGTATAGTTAGTGCCTCTCTCGAGAAAATGGTTTGTGAGACACGTGTACAGTTGACCAAAATAATGTCTGAGCAATAAAAATAATGAGTCCCTGCAGGAGATAACTTTTAAAGTTGAGGAGACAGGCCTTCAAAAAAGGATGTGACCTAACCTCAATAGGCATCTGAAGGTAGCTATCCAAAATACAGGCTGAATGTTGTGTTATTCAGAAGGGGATTTGGAAATTGAAAAGGTAACAGCTGTAGCCTAAAGCACTTGCTGCCTCACATGTTGGGGCAGACTTTGATAAGTACAAGGTGGTTCTAATTATAGACCACATTTTATTAATCTTACTTATTTATAAAGCACCTGTTCTCCAAGAAAGATTTCACTTTCATTTTTAATCTGTACACAGCATTTACAGATTCCCTATAGAAGATACTTGGTGTGAATGTGGAGACGAACACTCCATTTCACATGTGCTTCGGTGCATACAATGTCCTTCGACATGTTTTCCAAAGCACCAGAAGGCAGGACAAGAAACAATGGATAGAAACTAGTCAAGGAGAGAAGCAACCTGGAACTCAGGAGAAATTTCCCAGCAGTGAGAACAATTAACCAGTGGAACAGCTTGCCTTCAGAAATTGTTAGTGCTTCATCACAGGAGGTTTTTAAGAAGAGGCTGAGCAACCTCTTGTCTCAAATTATACAGGGTCTCCTGCTTAGGCAGGGGGTTGGACTACAGAGTACAGAGAAGAGCAACAAAGATGATTAGGGGACTGGAGGCTAAAACATATAAGGAACGGTTGCTGGAATTGGGTATGTCTAGTTTAACTAAGAGAAGGACGAGGGGGGACATGACAGCAGTGTTCCAATATCTCAGGGGCTGCCACAAAGAAGAGGGAGCCAAGCTATTCTCCAAAGCGCCTGAAGGCAGGACAAGAAGCAATGGGTGGAAACTAAGCAAGGAGAGAAGCAACTTAGGAGAAACTTCCTGACAGTTAGAACAATTAACCAGTGGAACAACCTGCCTCCAGAAGAGGTGAATGCTCCAACACTGGAAGTTTTTAAGAAGAGACTGGACAGCCATTTGTCCGAAATGGTGTAGGTTTCCTGCCTGAGCAGGGGGTTGGACTCAATGATCTCCAAGGTCCCTTCCAACTTTATTATTATATTATATTATATTCCTAGATAGAAGATCTCCAAGGTCTCTTCCAGCTCTGTTATTCTATTATGTACAGAGGAAGACCTCATATTGTCAGAAGAAAATGTTCACATGGCCAGATAATAGTTGAATGTCCTTCAGTTTTAAGCATTTATGTTGCATACTTTTACTCATGCTATATTTCTATGACCTATTTTATTATTTTATTCACTCAGTGTTGAATGTTATATGACTATGTAGGTAGTCCTCGACTTACCACCACAATTGAGCCCAAAGTTTAT